GCTGCCGCCTGCCAGGCTGAGTGCATGGGCGGGAGCCAGGCTATCACCTCACCACTGCCTGCCAACACGCCATCCCCGTCCTTCAGCAAACTCCCGCCTTCCAAGGCCAGCAAGTCATCCAAAGGCAAGGACGGGGTGGAGGTGGAGGCCCCTTCTCGAAAGCGGAAGTTATCTCCTGGCCCTACCACTTTCAAACGGACCTGCATCCTGGAGCCCACTGGAAAAGGCAAACCCTCTGGCTGCCGGGGCCTCTCAGCCAAGACTAAAAGCGCCCTGGGCATGGGGCTTAATGGGACAGTGGGACCAAGAGTGAAGCGGGCAGGGCCCCTGGACTGTCGGAGTTCTCCTCATCAGCCCCCCACACCAGTCAAAGCGTCTCAGCTGGAGAACCGGGGAGTGGCTGGGCACCCACGGGCCCCCCAGCCAAGACCCTGCCGACCAACTGCCTATCTGAGGAGGAGGTAGCCAAGAAGCGGAAAAACCTGGCCACGTACTGCCGGCCAGTGAAGGCCAAGCACTGTCAGGCTGGTGCCCCTGCTGATGTGGCCTGCTCTGTGCGCCGCAAGAAGCCGGGCCCAGCCCTGGCCTTTGAGGAGAAGTGCTCGACACTGAAGGTACCAGCCCAGCTCTCTGAGGAGCATGGGCAGGGAAGGGTAGGGTGGATGGTGGTGAGGTTCATGAAGAAGGTGCTAAGTTAATGTTTGTACAGGAGAGGGAAGAAAGGGGAAGTTGGGCAAGAGGTTCTGGACCATCTGCTTTAGGGAGAGGTGGGTCAGCTCTTAGCAAAGTGCCCCAAACTTCTCACCTGATGAACCTTCCCTTATCTCCAGCCTTCTCCCTTGAGCGGTGGAGATCCTGTGCCACTCCCCTGCCTTTGCATTAATCAAAGGGCTGTTTCTTTGTGAATTGGCCGCAGCCCTCACTCCAGAAACTGAAGCTACCTCTCTTCCCTGAAAGAAAGGGAGTTGGGCTCATGAGCTGTGTGTGACCTGTCATGCTGAGCACCAGGGACCACCAGGGTGGGTGGGCTGGTCTCGGTCAGCAGTTCTTCCTCTGGGGATCAGAGCACTGGACAGGTACACAGCTCAAGGTCAACATATACATGTGTGCCCAACTTGCACATGTGCCCCCTCTGGATTTCAGGTGTCAGGCAAGTTCTCTAGGGTGTGTAGTAAAGCCTGCAAGCAGGTCTATTCAGATCTTCTGGTGGGAGCCCTGAGATAGTGTCCTGTGGGCCATCCATATGATCTTAGCCAGGAGGGACTTGGAGGTGGGATGGGGATGCTGACCTGATCTAGGTGTGGGCCCTATGCCTACCAACTCCTTGGAGCCCATAGGAATGCATAGGTTTAACAGTTGTCTAGGGCCTGCGTGCATGTGTGTGTACACATGTATGCATGTATGGTTTCCTGCTTCACTCCCTAGGCTGCCCCTGTTGGACTGGCATTCATTTCCCCCCTCACTCAGTTTACCAGGCCAGCAGAAGGAAATCAAGTGTTAGCTCTTAGAGTCTACACAGTTCACTAGGTAGGATGACTGTAGGACCCCACCCTGACCCTCTTTCTCCGCCTCTTGTCTCCTTGCAGTCAAAAGCCCATTAACAAGAAAGTGCCTGCCCACTGCGAAGGAGCCGCCAGCACCTCCTCCCCTCCAGATCCGGGCCCCAGGCTGCTGCCGCTTTTTATAACTTTATATTATTTTTTTTAAGAAAAAAACTCTTTAAAATACCTCAAGACTGTCTCCCTGTTCTGTTGCTGCTAAGAAAATATAAAAACATTAACATAGAAAAGGAAGAAAACATGTAACAAACGAGTGTCCTTACTGTCCCATGCCCACCCTGGGAGGCTGAGGTTGTAGGCAGCCAGACTTTTGGCTCCCATAGTTTGCCTGCAAAAATCTCTTATACTCACACATATATATATATATTTGGGTCTGGGATTTATCACTGGGGGAGTCTTCTCTCCAGATAGGATGGTGAGGCATGTGGCAGTGAATGAGCAAGGCTTCCCAAAATCTTGACTCCTAGAGGCCCTGGTCCCATCTGGAAGGGAAACTTGAGAAGGGGGAGGGGAGCTGCACCTCTGGCCTGACTCTTGGATCTCTGCCCTGAGGATCTGCAGGAGTTGCTTATGGCCCTTTTCATCTGGCAACCCTAGGCCTCCATCCAACTAATTATTGCCTCAGTTTCTTCAGCTGTACCTGCCTGGTCCACCTCAACTGCAGCCTCATTTTTCTCAGCCGCTTAAGGGCGCTTAAATGAATTGTTAGCCACTCTCAAGATTCCCTGTTTTCTATTGCTCGACTTTTTGCTCTCTTCTGACCTGGGGGGTTTGATCTTAAGGAAGGGATAGAGCTTCTCCCAGCTAGGCCTCCCTGGGGTGAATCCTATCTTTTTTGGAGGCAGGAAGGGATAAGTGTAATAATTGCAGAACTTGTGTGGGAGGTGGTCACAGGATGTGGGAGGTGGGGGTCACCTGGTTCTCAGGCCAGAGCAACTGCTCTGGAGGCTCAAGGGCTGGGAGCGCTGTAGGACAAAGACTACTGTGCACATAGTGACACTTGGACACACACACACCCCGCCGCCCCTTCCCTTGTGGTCTTCAAATTCAAATTCACCAGGTTCAGGGCACCGTTCTTTTGGCCTTGTCCTTTCCTTTTGTTCTTGCTTTTTGGCAGGGAGGAATCTTATTTCTTTAACAAGACAGAATAGGAGCCGGCAGCAGGCAAGCAGGGGACTCTAGTACCCTGGAACGCTGTTCAAAACACTGGTTTCACACTCTGGTGTGTAATTTGGGGTTTCACTGAAATCGGTTGCCGCAAATGTAATTTCCACCGGCTGCTTGAGGTCTAGGTTCCTGTAGACACAAAGATACAAATGAAGGTGGGCTGGGAGTTGGCCAATCCCTCTTGCTCCGGGCATTCGTGGAGCGAGCGGCTCCAACGCGGTTCCCCCCCAGCCCCAAGAGGGCGCTGTGGGCGACTCCGCCGTACTGCCGACGGCGTCCCGGGGGAGGAGCCTCTCCTGCAGTCGCCACCGCCTCCGCGATCGCAAACCCGGAAGACGCATCCAGGCAGCTGGACTGCGGGCCGGCCCGGCACGGCCATGCAGCCCCTGGAGGTAGGTCTGGTTCCTGCTCCAGCGAGGGAGCCGAGACTGACCCGCTGGCTGCGGAGAGGCAGTGGGATCTTGGCGCACCTGGTAGCTTTGGGCTTCACCATCTTTCTGACTGTGCTGTCCCGGCCAGGAACCAGTGAGCTCGCGCGGCGGGGCGGGGCCGCGGAA